TCGCTGAAGTTCCTCGGAAAGAATTTATACCGGAAATTAACAAACGAACAGAGACGTAACAATATCATTGGATGGTGTATTTAACTGATTTGTCTATATTGTTAAAATAACTGATTTTGTATAACTTCTGGAAAATTTCCATATGAGAATCTTATAAAATATTTTAAAAAAATAACGGGACTTGAGCTATAAAACAAGCTTAGAGTCAGAACTACTAGTAACAGAAATTAAGAGTTTAATAAACTTGTGAAACTCATTTAGAGAATCCTTGTGAATTTAATGAGTAAGTAACTTTTAGTATTTGGAATTGTTACAATTTAGACTTTGTGTTTAGTCAGTTACGAGAAAGTCTTGGCTTCAAGTTCAGTTGCCTTAGTTAATGTTAATTAAAGATACAAATAGTGTTTCGACTGAGGCGTGGTGAACATTGGTTTGAACAAAAAGCTTCATCAGCACAACTCTTACTAGAAACCTGCTGAGAGTCATTAAATATGTGTGCACTAAATATGAATATACAATGTTTGAAATACTTACGGAAGCAGTGAATAAAATGCAAATATTATAGGATTGCTTCCCTCTATGGAATTAAAACGAATTACTCCAGGGTAAAGTAACGTATTAATAGTTTACATTGTAATTGGTTGTCATTCAACCAATCAGGCAGTGCCATACAAACATAATGCCTATAAAACTACAGATAGTCATGCTATTTCCAACAAATATTATGGGATTGCTCCCACTATGTTATATGAAAATGAACTACACCAGAGTACGGTCGCATATTAATAGTTTGCACTGTGACTGGCTGTTATGCAATCAATCATACAGTGCTACACCAGCACAATACCAATAAGAGTACAGGCATATTATATCTAGCAGTAGTGTGGTGATTGCGCTCACGGTTCCCAAGACAGAAAGCAATATCACAAACGTGTATAAATCAAACTTTTGGCTGGTTCAGAAGCATCTGGGTAGAAACTCTGTAAACAGCACGTGAAATTACTACCGTTGATAATGGAAACAATCGAGTTAGAAAGCCCAAACTTTTAAAAAGGGATGTTAAGTAATTCAGGGTATGCTCTTTACGTGTCACACGAGAATCTAGTAGAGAACTTGTCAATGACCTAGCTGTAAAATATGGGTGTGAATGTTACTTCCATAATAGTAAGATATGCACAAGGTGATCTCAATGATGTATAGCTACTCAAATCCCACTGCTTAGGAGAGATAGTCAAATGACTGAAATTGTTATGTGTCAGGTTTTTATAGAACCGGATTCTTTACAGTAGGTGTCTGGACTTGTTGGCTATAAAGTTCAACAATAAACAGACAGCACATAATCCACTTGTTTTAAAATAATACATTCAAAACAAGTCAAATGTATGT